CCGAATGACTAGGTAAAGAAAATCCCTACAGCTTATGTAGTAAATGGAGAAGAACAGCAGCACTAGGAGTCACTCACCAGAAAAACCAGGTGTTAGCGATGCAAGTTTTCTTGCTAGGTTATCTTTATTTAAGACAGTGTCTAATTTCAGAGGTCTAAGATGAACTTTGAAAATAGATGCTCTTCCTTTTATATCTGGGGGTCCTTTAAGACAAAAAAAAGTATGCTTTTACTTTTCACATACACATATATTCTAATTGAATGTGTGCAAGGAAGTTACATATGTAAATAGCTGCAGTGATTTCAGTGGTATTCTACAAACGTAGAATGCAGATAAAACTTACCAATGTAAATCTGCCTGTCAAAGCGTCCTGGTCTCATTAGAGCAGGGTCTAAAATATCTGGCCTGTTAGTACCTGCCAAAATTACTACGTTTGTGGTTGTATTAAATCCTGTTGAAGAAAGGTAACAAAGAGAAAGTCTGTGTAAATATAGTTTCCTTAAAAAAAAAAAAAAAAAAAAAAAGACTGACTGCTTTACGAGGCCACATAAGAACTGACAGTTTAAACAAATAATCCTAAAGCTGAAAATACTTCCATTTATTAGAGCATTGTCCAGCTTTTCATAACAAGCAAAAAAATGGCCTTGGGCTCTGCTTTGTGGAGTACTATATCAGATCCTGCTTTATCTTCAAAATGCAACAGATTAACTGCTCAGGAAATTGCAGAACCAGCATGGCTAGCTGGTGGTTTTTTTTTTTTTTTTTTTTACAGACAGACTGGTCTCATGCAAAGAATTTTTTTTGGCCTATTCAACGACGACAGAGTTATCAGATGCAGAATGATGGTTCTTTTTTCTGAAAGAATTTTAGCAAACCATCAGGCTGCAGCAAAATGAGTCACCGTCCTTCAATTTAGGAAGCAAGGAAACACTCAATTTATATTTATGCTAGAACCCAAATCTTGGTCAACAGGTCTGAACAAGCATATTGGTTCTTTCCTCATCCTCGTTATTATAAGGCAATATTAAACGTTAAATACTTACCATCCATTTCTACTAGAAGCTGATTGAGTGTGTTCTCTTGTTCACTTTGTCCTCCAAAGTTGCCCCTTCCTCTCTTCCTTCCTACTGCATCTATTTCATCAATGAAGAGAATGCACGGGGCATTTTTACGAGCAAGAGCAAATAAGTCTCTAACCTTAACGGGAGAAGAGAGTATGTGTCAGACTGGTTTGTAATTGTTCAGAGTTGGGGGTGGGTAGGAGGGGAAGAGGTACATCAGTATCACGATAATGAGCATGGTTGTTAATAAGCATTCCAAAGCCTCCCGACAGCTCTCAAGGCAAGGGTAAGTTACACTGCAGCTGCTGCGCAGCAAGAATCACTCATGTGTAGGCCTACTGGTTGACCAATCCTTTCTCAATCCATAAATTAAGGGCACTAAACAACTTAAAAGCCTTAAGAAATAACCACTTTCCTGAATAACTGAAATAACAGCTTCAACTCTAAAGGCCTCCAAACTTCAGAGATTTAAAGCAAGACTTCTCTTTTAAGCAGCTCTTCAATGCACAGTATTACAAGCAGAACTGGAATGGGGACAGGCATGCTACCACACAGTCGTTCTTCATACCAAGGAAATAATTTTTTTTTAGTTTTTCTGCAGTTAGAACAGGGTGATGTAGCTCCTACAATGAACTTAAGGCTTACTTACAAGTGCTTACCATTGTACTCTGACAATATGCTGTTATAAATAGTGACTCTTAGCCCTCCTGTCTCTCCATTATGTGGACTAGGAAAAACTGAATTCACCTCCAAATATTTATTTGGAAGTTAAATTAACTTCTAAAAGTCTGGAAAAAATGGCCAAGACATGAGCAAATAGCTGAACATTTTTTTTCGACTTTCAGGTTTTAAATATTACCTATCAAATCCTACTGTGGTAGTTACAGCACAATGTGATTGGCATAAGATGCCACAATACAATGTTACTCTGCTCGCAAATATGTCAGACGAACCTGATTAATACCAGTTCAGCAAGTTAACAGCCCTACAACTGAGGGATCTAACTGGAGCAAACAGGAAATGAAAAATTATGGAAGAATTTTGACCAGAGTGAGAATTACATGCAACTCAGAGCTTTACTACTATGTACATTAGAGATGCAATTAGAGAAGGCTTCTCTGATGACAAACAATGTACAGCAGATGTGAAGAGATGTGAATTTTGAACAGTATGCTCTACTAGAGAAAGTCACTCTGTTTTGTAAACAGAATTTGAAAAGTACAAGGAATAAAGCATGAAGGAACATGATAAACAAGGAAAAAGTGTCAGATGCTCAAAGTAAACTATCTTTTTATTGGAAAGAGACAGAGATCCAGAAACATACAACTATTTTTCAGAAGGAATGGAACTAAAAGTTACCATAATGCATATACACTAAAAAAACCAAAACAAAGGAACCAAGGCTAAGTGGTTTTAATTCCAGCACATTCCAGTTTACAAATAATCAATTTAGCATCATTAACAACTGTCTTATTTACTAAATTCATAGGAAATGAAACTAAAATGCTCTCTCATGTTGTTTTCTACAGGCATCAGAAATTACCAACAGTGCTGAAATCTGGATTCCTAGCCTAAGGAGCGACTGTTATGTCAACAGATTTCCCTGGGTAGTAAAAGCTGGCAAATCATCTGCATCGCCCAGAAGGGAAAGGTTAAGTCACTTTGCTTTGGGGCACTTCAGGTATAGATCAGTTCCTTTTCTTACTGTTTCTCAGTAAAGTCCCTTCTACACCGCATGCTCCCTTTTTCAACTCCCACTCATTTTACATACACGATCACTATCTCCACACCCTCTGGCTTTCAGTTCCTTTTTTCAGTCACCATCCCTGTTTTTCACCCTGTTAGCCATTTCTGCATCTGCTTCCCCACTCTTTGTCTATACCCTCTCCCCTCCGCAGCAGCTCCTTTTCCCTATTTCCTTACACGTTTCCAGTCTCTCCCTGCATGCTCAATTGAAGCCTCCACTGCCAACTAGCTTCTGCATTTAACTTTCTGAACAGCTCCTGTTATTCTCAGTTCCAAGCTCTGTGCCTACCTGCATTTGTCCCCCACTCCCCTTCCCTTTCCCCTTTTCAGATGACCCCAAATTACCTGGCTTCACTTATATCTTTTCCCATCTGTATTAGTGGAAACAGTCCAGCAGAAGACCATCAAAAGAGACCTAGGCTTGCAAGAGGCATACGCACGCACAGCTGTGACAAACTAAGGATCAAATCTTGGAAAGTTTACCTGCTAACACATGTAAAAACTGCTGTTTTTCACGGCTTTAAAGAACTGGGTCAAAATGAGTTTTCTTGTGAATTTTCACAGGACATAAAACTGCATATGTATCTGGTAAAAGCCATTCCCTGTCAAATTTAAAATTCAAACCAAGACCCTAAAGCATTTCCATTTCATGCTAGCAGAATTAGTTTTTAAACATGAGTAAAACCCACACTATGCTTCCTTAAGTCTTTTCACAGAATTTGTAGCAAACAAATCTAAAGTTTTCCAGAATCGTGTCACCTTGCAGTATACTTTTTAAGGCTTAAGACAAGATGGCTGGAGTTTGGTGAAGGTATGAGCTATTGGAAATGGAGCATAGTTTTGGACATTATGAGGAACCTTATTCTTTTGTGTTACCCACCTGGTTTGTAAAATATTATCAGCAATTTGTTTATACCACTTAAAATAGCTCATCAAAAACATATTAAAAGAGTTAAGGCAAAAGAGCACAAAAAGTGTTAAGACAGATACATCTGTTTTTTTTAAATCGCCTGATCTCCAGAAATCAATCATTAGTTCCATGACCCTCAGACTCCTATTTCAACCAGGAGTTCATTTGTGTGTCCCAGACAACTATTTGTATCTAAGAGTTTGAAACTACAAAGAGAATAAACTTCTTCAAAGAAACAAGAATGACTTGGAGCAGGAGGAGACATTCCCATAGCAGTAGTCAAATGAGCTATGTATGTCTGACCCAGCTAGTAAATTTACTTCAGAGCACAAGTTGGAGAGCTCTGTTCTGTTTCCATTAAGTTCCTCCAAAGAGGTAAACCCTTAAGGTTTTGATGGCCTGCAACCACATACTGAACTGCACCAGTTCCTTTTATGAAAGGTACATCTATGATTCTTGGGTTTAGGCAAGCATCTGGCAGCACTGGTAAGTAATCTGCACAGATGAAAGAACTTCAGCTGTAATCAAACTGTTTGCCTCCCAAGCTTGACAACATCCTTTCAACAACCAATACTGAAACCAAAGAGCAAGGCCAAGGACTTACTCGAGCCGGACCCACGCCAACAAACATCTCTAAGAACTCCGAGCCGTTCACTGTGATAAATGGTACATTAGCTTCTCCAGCTGTAGCTTTAGCTAGCAGTGTTTTCCCGGTACCTGGAGGACCTGTCAGAATTGCCCCCTGTAAGAGGAAACAGGTATATTTTTCTCATGAAGAAAACATAATACAAACCTATGAAATATCTTAATTAAAAGATCTACATGTTATGATGTTGACTCCATTGGCTCTTCTTCCACCACAGTCAAAATTGTGCAAAGAAACAAACTGAAGATTAATCTCTCATTTAAACCAGCAGAAGGAAAAAAAAAAAACAAAACAATAGCACCATGCTGTCTTAGGTTTACAGGAAGAGTGTTTTCTTTGACTGACACATTAAAAAAAAAGGCTATGTCATGAGGTGGGCTCCCAGGGCAGCATAGCCAAATGGCAAATCTGTAGCAATTATATACAAGAATGATGGTACGCATGCATGCTGCCTGTCAGTTCTGACCCATGTGAACAGATGAAGTATTCCCCAAGGCAACTCTTCTGGCACCACAATTATACTGTTGGCACTTAATGCCTATTTATTTTTTGACCGTGAGAAGCTGGAAAGCATTGCATATGTAAACATTCCTAGTACAACTGAGAATACTGAGGACTACCAAAAGAATAAAGTCTTTACCTGCTAAGTTGTCATTCCCTTACCTTTGGAATTTTTGCTCCTAGATCCTCATATTGTTTGGGATTTTTCAGAAAGTTAACAAACTCCATTATCTCTAACTTGGCCTCCTCACAGCCAGCTACATCTTTGAATTTAACATCTATTTCATCCTTAAGGACTTTGGCTGTGGTTTCACCCACACTGAAAAGTCCACCCATTCCACGCCCTGCTCGACCTAAGCCTGCAGGACCTCTTCTTAACGTGTACAGCAAAGAACCAATGATCAGGATTGTAGGCAGCAGACTCAGGAGAAATGATCTGTGGAGAAAAAACAAACAAAGCAGAAAACCACATATATTACAAAACCCCATTACTGCATATGACGTACAAAACATTGGTTCCATCATAAGCAAACAAATTCAGAACTAGTACTCTATTAACTTGTAATGTTTACATTTCCCAGGTTGTTCACACTGGGAAATAACCAAAATAAATTAGAGAACAAACAGGTTTATTGATTTTTCTTTGTTTTTAAACCAAGCACATTATCAAGGGACACTGATGAGTTTTACAGAGGAAAACTACATTACCTAGTAAACAAAAGTAGCTAATTTTCTATGCCTTTCAAAGGTAAATTCCCAGGACTAGTTATGCAAATAGCGAACATTATCAAAATAAGTTGCATAGGGTAGCATATAATCTGTGTATGCTACAACTTCAAGCAGAAATTTCTCTCCAAAATACGTATTTGCTCTTCTTCCCTTAGGCCTTTCTCAATTTTTACATTTTCTTCTTCTTTCAATGTCTCTATTTCCCTTTCCTAAGGCTACAGGATTTTTTTTTTCTCGGTTGGGTTTTTTTTATTATTCATTGCCCATTATCCTTCACTGTCTGTTCTCCAGCTTTCTAGCACAGCTCTGTACAAGCCAAAAATCCTAATACTAAACCAGTCCTCATTATCCTAGTATCTGAGCACTGCACAGATTTTTCTGTGGCAATACCTTCAAGGAAGAGTTCACAAGAGGTTCTGTCAACACCTAGCAAAACCAAAATGCTGAAAAGAAGCACCACCAGAAATGAGCACAGGCTTTACTGATATCTCACATTTCTGGAATGAAGAGGAAAAGAAGGATTTTCCCCTATACTATGGTATTCAGCGGATTCTGATCCGGCAGGGAACAGCAGTACTGCGATCATATAGCTGCTGCTTTCTCCTGTTTCCCATGGCATTGCTGGGGCACAGCAGGAAGTTACAGGCGATGTATTCTATGAAGAACAGACACCGAGGAGGAAAGGGCCAGAGACTGTGGTCAGAAAGAGGGGTTCAGCACGCAAGAGATTTGTGCGAGGCTGAAGAAGGCATACGAACTGACGTAACTTTTCACATTCTATTGTGAGAAGCCACAGGCCGACATGCAGCCTTTCTGCACAAACACGGTGTTGCCCTGTCCATTTCCACCCCCCCGCCCCCCGATTTGTTTAAAAAAGGGCTGAACAGGTTTATTTATGGACCATCCTTAAGAGCATACCCCACTAGACAGAAACAAAGAAATGAGGCAGAGACAGTCTGTAGAAGAACAGGGAACAGAAAACCTCTGTCTGAAGTTGCAGGATGGCCCTGAGTTAAGGCTAAACATTTTTCCTGTTGCCACCAAGACAAACAGGTGGCAGCAGCTTGGTAGAACACATCACAGAAATAAACAAAACCTCCCCCCGCATCCCCCAAAACTGAAACACACACCACAGTATCAAGAATGAAAACACAAGAGAGGCAGCAAATTAGCCTTTGTCATTAGTAATATGAACTACTACACCCAAAGCTGACTTTCCTGATGGTACAAAACCTACTTCACAGACAGCAGCAGGAGTCATTGTCGAATTGCTCACTTGGATCAGAAAGAAATCAGTTCTGGGCACACAAGATTCATCTGTCTTCTAAGCCATTCAGAAAACCGCATCAGAGAAGCACTTCTAATCTCTTCTAAAGGCCAGGTCAATAAAACTCAGCTACATAAGGCTAATACAAAGAATACAAATCTAGTATTGGAGCCATTATTCCCTACTGGGGAAGCAACAATGCTGTAAATCTGATGACAGTACTATTTTTCTTAACCAGCTTAAAGATTAAAAGCATGATGCATTTTCCAGTTCCTGCTAACAGGCAGGATAGCATGATTTACTTAATCACCAATTTCTTGCCTTTTTGCAAGGCCACAGAATCTGACTTCTGCCAAATTTACAGGCAGAAACTGGTGCCTGTTCTATGAAATACTCTGTCTGTTCAAAAATCTGCACAAGTGCCATCCCTGGAGCTCTACTGCTGTGCCTGGCTGACTACTGCTCTAGTACAAGTGACTTGGAGGAAGGGCTTAAATGAAGGAAGGACTAATTGTAAACAAACATTTATGTAATAAGAAACTATATTTAGTGTAAGAGGATATGGATTTCTACACATACAAAGTACTGAACAGTTCACATTCAAAAAGAAACCCAAGAGGACTGTTATTCTGATAATGCTGCCACCTACAGAAGTGTAAGGTTCCTCTATTACAAATCTACTTCTCTACTGTAAACACAACCATTTTTCATCACAGACTTTTTTAAAGCAACTTCTTACCCATCACTCTCCGTTGAGTAGACTACAGGCAATCTGTTCTCCACTTCTATTCCCAGATCTTGCTGCACAGTTTCAAGATTCCGTTCAAAAGTGTCCACACTACCGATATTAAACCAGACGTACTGCTATAAAAAAAAGCAGAGATCACCACAAAGTGTCCTGTCTTATTTCAGCTTCATTACAAGCCAACTTCTTCTAACACATACACAAGCAATTCTCAGAACAGATTTGGACCAAGTTTAAGTTGTCCTATGCACGGAACAAATCTAAGGCCCACCAACCTGAACACACCGTATGTGTCATTGCTTCTACAGAGATCATACACCCAGTAGTTCTCAGGCACTTTAAAACAGACTGAAATCCTGGCATTTTCTCCAGGAACAAACGTAAGGGGAGTAAGTAAAGAGATCTTCAGAAGGGAGCTACGCAGTTGGAATAATACAGAACACTGAACCAGCAAACACAGCAGCCCTACAAGTTACTGGTTCACCTGAAGGTCTCAGCCCTTCTGATTAAGAAAGGCAATTCTCTACTTCTGGAGTCTGTATTAGCTTTAAAGTTAGCTGCCTTCACAAAAGACAGCATGAACTTATATCATACACCAGAAAAAGAATCCAGACATTACTTTCAAACAGTGTTGAGATTCAGTTCTTCAAGAAAATCTCTCCTTTTGCACCATGACCTGCCTGACTTGCCCCTACTTACCCTAATATTGAAAAAGAAAAAAAAAAAAAAGTAGCCCTAAGTATTAACTGATTGAGAAACTAAGGCAACTGATGGTATGTGGGTTAAAGAGTAGGTGTATAAATAAGTCACACTGAAACCCACTGATGAAGTAATTGCTGCAGATTTCACTTTACCCCGGAGGGACTTGCAGACCTTGTTTCAGAAAGTCAGTTAAAAACACCTCCACCACCTAGGAAGAGGTAACCTGATAAACCTTCTCTAATGCTTCTTCTACTTTTCCACATTGTATATGAGATTTTTTTAAAAAATTTTTTAAATAGGTCCCTGCCACTGAGTATTATTCTTTGGAAAACTTTCACCTGCTTCAGTCTGTTCCTCACTGTGCTACCAGAAAAGTAACTCCCTAAAACAAGTACTTTTCTCAAGAATGAGAGCTCTGAGCTTAGTGTTAGAGACTATAGTATCAAATGCAGACCGAGTTAAACATTTCTCTTTGTTTCCTCAAATAACTGGCTAAAGGCAGTCTGGAACAGAAAAGATCCAAAAGTATGTACAGTTAAGTCTGCGATTTTCTTGAGCAGAAGGAAAACAGCAGTTAAAAAAAATACAGAACCTTCAGCAATTTCTTACTCTTCCTGTTCGCATATTTGTATTAAGAGCACGGTGCTGGAAAGGAACTACTTGCTGTAGTTTTAAGCTATCTGTGGCAAAACAATTGGTACAGTAAAGTGAAAAACACACAATGTAGGATAATGTAACAGCAAGGCAGAAAAAATGTTTTAGATCAAGAGATTATTAATACTCCAGACTAAGCTTTCTGCATCAAGCTTTGCCTAAAAAGATAGTTTTGCTGTTTCTAATGTCTCATGTACATGCATTTAAAGTGTTTACCCATTCATGAGGAGACTTGCCCGAAACAAAGATCACTCTAACAAAGCGCTTGTTCACCACTTCAAGTCTGTCCACCTGGAGGAGGAAAGAACAAAGCTTGTGATGTGTTAGAGCATACAGTCACTGCACTTCCATTACAGCTAAGAGCTACATATACCAAATATGAACCTGTTCTGTTTTCCAGTAAGGAGAATAAAATTAACGTTGTAGATTGGGATGGTTCCACAATCTACGGTTTGCTATTAGAAATGGCATGAGAAATCATGTATGTAATCAGTAAGCAAGGAGTATTGGCACATTAGAATTTAGATTGAAAGAATGACCTCATACCCTTTTTCAAGGAAAAAACCCAATGCATATCTCAGCTCAAATCACAGGTACAATGAAATAGTTAAAAGAATACTCTAACTATTTCAATGGTCAAACACCAAAAGCAATAGATCACATGCTCCAACCTCTTGTAGCAGCTTCCAAAACAAACCAACCTGAACAGAGTAAGGGCAAACTTAACTTAGGTCTTACGATTGTTTTCGCTAGTATAAAAGACTTCCTATGCTACCATATTAAACACAATAACATCAATTGGATAAAGAAGGATTTAGTTGAGGTAACAGACACCATATAAACTAATATCCTAATATCAAGAACTGAGCTGCAGGTTTGCAGATACATACTATAAAGCTATAAAGCTTTTTTTTTTTTGATAGAAGCCTCCTCAAACGGTTAGTTTCTTGAATTTGACAAGGTCTCTTCAGAAGGCAACTAAAGTTCCTTTCCATTTTTTCTTCCTCTTTCCATAACATAACTGGTTTCAGCATCTTTAAAGAATTTAAAACTAGCAATGATTCCACAAGTTGGGCCCGAACTGTACACAGGCTAGTAAGGTTGTTTCCCTGAACTGACTACGTGTGGCCATTTCTGGTAGAATTAAAGCAAAACATGAGCTAAGAAGCCACTCCAGATCTAGCCTAACTTCATGCAAAACTACCTGAACATCTTTATTTTGAAAAGCACTGACGTCTTCTCTCCACTAACTGGCCACCACTATAGCAACCAATGGCATTTGATAGCTATGTGTTTAGCTTATCTGAATATCCAGACTACATCTCACAAAGACCCAAGAGACTTGGTTCTGTGCAGCAACCCACTTTCATAATGCTTTTCTGCAACAAGGCTTCAGGCTTCATTCACTGTAATAGCTAAATGAACCTTTTTACTGAGTTAGTGTCTTACTACTTCACAACAAATATAATCAGGATTGGGTTTTTTTTTTCCCCACAAGATGTACACATTATTGTCAATTAAGAATAGGACTGTAAGACACAGCATAAGCAGAAGCACACAGAACAGCTCTGCATAGATCAGTAAGACAAAGGAAGGTAAGAAACAACCTGTTTAGCAGTTTACCAAAGTAATGGAGGGGTAGGAAGCACGCTGTTAACACAAAATCCCAGGTCTGAAACCTAGAGGAGGAAGCAAGCCAACGTTTTCCTAACCTGCAGGCGAAGATAGAAACAGGGAGGTAACAGAGCCAAGAACTAGTGGCGCCTGAAGTGGGAAAGGCCTGTGTTAGACACTCGATCTCTTGAACTTCAGGGCATCACCAACCTATTACTCCAAGTGTGGAAAGCTGCCAAGTTCTACAGAGAGATAGGACACCAATGACAAAACTGATTGCTCCAGTAGTGGCACCAGGTAAGAAGGAAAGAATAAGAGAGGATTTTTACTGTCCTTGAAGGGAAATTTACTGTCCTTGAAGGGATTCTCCCATTCCCTACCCCCACCTTTCTGTTCACACTGCTGCTCCTCAGACTCCCGGAGGAACTGATTTAAGGCATGAAACAAGCAGAAAACTATTTTTTCCCTCCTCTTCAGGGAGGGTGGGCTCGTGGAAGTACTTAAGGTTAGGAGTAAGTTTCTTCCGAAGGCAGCTGGCATGTCTGCTTAAGCCATTAGGTCGGCTTCCCTGTATTATAAAACCATACCCTGAGAGACTGTG